AGTTATATAAAAATTAGTAGCATATCACTTGGCATTTAATAGATTTCATGTAATCAATATAAATGTATAAAAGCCAAAACTAAATCTAATTTTTACTCAAATCATTTAAAATTTATAATTTAAAATAGCAAGTCAAATTGATATCTTATGTCAAAATATCAAATTACTTATATTTGGTGAGATAAAGAGATAAAAGTTTTAACTTCATTCTATTATTAGCTTTTGCAAAAAATATAGCAATATTATATATAATATCTCATTTATGTTTTCTTTTATATCTATTCCAGTGATACAAATATTTAAACCATTAGCCTGAATACAATCATAAATTCAGAGCCTTTATGATTTTAATTAATAAAATAGTTTCATTTTTGATTAAAACTACTAAATTATAATATGTTTATTTATGGATTTAAATTTGTTTAATCTCAGAAGTATTTTGAACTTTTTAATTTATTGGTAATTTACATATTAAATTTGAAACAAGACTAATAAATTTTAAAAATTTTATTCTGTTATAATTATTATATTTGTTAATAAATAAGTTATTAATAAAGATAAAGTCAATATACTAAAGGATCTGAAGTTCTAAATAACTTATTATAGGATATGTATGGAGTTTCAGATCTATTTTCTTTATTTTTTGCTTCATCTCTCTTAGTATTTATTAAGAGATAAAATAATTATGGCAAAAATACAGAAAGAACTGTTGTACTTTTCCTAAATTTTCTTTTAAATTCTATAAATAAGATATGTTATCAATGAATTAAAAAGTTTAAAAATACTATAACAATTAAACAAATCTGGTTCTTAGAAACCTTTTCAAAATCTTAGCTAATGAATTATCATAATATTTATATTAAAAGAATTAAATTATATAAAACATTTTAATTCTTAGTTTTATCCAGATATTTTTCTTAAAGATATCAAAAATTGAAGTTATATTTTGAATATTTTATCTTGAACCAAAAATATCTAGTTGAAGATCACACTTCAAAGGATCATTTCTGAAGCAGTTGATATTTGTCATATTTAATGTTGAGTGTAAGTAGGCAGCTTGCATAGCTTGTAATTTATGCCAGGAAGCCTGAATCAAGGAAGCAAAAAGATTTGTTATTGCAAATTTGTTTGAAGATAAAAATATTAATTATTGCAATGTTGTTTAACAATCTTCATTGCATTGCTGGTTTTTCTGGACATGGTACATTTATTTAACAATTAATAATATATGTATCATTTTTATGTTGTAATGTGTAGCATAAATCTATACATATTGCCTTCCACTAGTAATTATTACAATACATTGTAACTTAAATTCAGTAACAAATTTTGCTAATATGAACTAGAATTTTTCATTTAGAATGGTCTTTTTAATTTAATATTTTCAATTTGATTTGTTCTATGTACAGTACTTCAATTGAAAATCTATCATATACAATGTATTTAGTATTATTTGTGATATACAATGCTGAATTGCTATTCTGTTATATATGACCATTTCTGTATATTTCAACCAAAATTTTTTAAATGTAGAATATGTTGGAAAAAGCCATATACTATATCTAGAATATATGAATAATAGAATGANTTATTTTTTCTGTTTAATATTATTGGGTATGTATATATTTGCATTAAATTAATATTAAAATACTAAACATTTAGGTTTCCACGCATCAAGTTATTAAACGTAATAGTCCAATAAATGTTGTCCAAATCTAGTGTGTTAATGAATGCAAATAGTTTGTATCCTGTATCAATTCATTCAGGAAAACAGCTTACAACACAGCAGCACTTCTGGCAATCACAAATTATCGTTAGTGAGACAAAATCTACTTCTCGTTGGCCAGATGATACCTTCTTATTGGCCCATGACAATATCTACTTCTTGTCAGTGAGATGATATCTAACTCTCCTTAGTGAGACGAAACAACAATTTTTCCACCCAAATTGACCTTATATATGCGCTAAGGCAGCCAGCAGTTGACCAATCAGCGTCTCTGCTTGTCTGTAGCTCTATTTCGGGTTAGCGTATCCTTTCAACTATGGAAAGTTTGACGGATCAACTTTGTGAGTTAGACAATGATTGGGAATGAAATGCAAATGTAAAAAGGAGCGTCATCGCATCCATTTGATCATATTTTGAAATTATTAATGAAAGAAAACAAACAATTACAAATGGATACTTTTCCCAAAAAATGTAAGAGATCCAAAACTTTAAAACATCATTTGTTTTTCTTAAGATTTTTTAATAAAAACATTTCATTTTATGATAAAATAAAATGCATTTTTAATTTCCTGAAGTGAAGACACTTTGGCACCATAATTAGACTATTTGTTGATAAAAATATATCATTTTTGTCTCATAACACACAAAATAAAAATTTAAATCTATTTTAAAAGTCAAATATCAAAATTTATTAAAAATAATTTCTAAAAGTACACTACATCTGCACATAAGTTGTTGTTAATTGGCTTTTAACAGATGATAATGTAGTCCCTAAAATTTTCAGTTAAAATTTCATGGAAATTATATCGACAGCTAGAATTGAACCAAATTTTGTTAACTTTGTTGATCATAACAAAGTTGTTCAGCATTTACTCCAATTCCGCTGCAACCCAATAAATCAAACATGTGACAAGGTGTATGGTTAAACCACAAACATTTCTCAAAAACTTCCAATACATATATCAATACCAATCAAAAAAGCCAGAAATTATGGGCTATTATTGTTTACTGAAATTCAATTTAATTATTAAATAAGCAAGTAGAATTACAGCATAAAAATAACACAATTTCCATTTGTTTTGGTTATTATAGTGAGGAACTTGAGAAATATATTTGTATGTAAGCTCTATAAATACTATACATGCAGGAGGAATGTTACTATGTTTTGATTGATTCCAAAAACTGATGCAAGCAATAAATAGTGATAGTTTCAAACATACTTTCAATTTTTATAATTTAATACGATGCAATCACAAAAATTTTTAGAAAATAATTAACAAATTTAAGTATTAACTTTCCACAATACACCATCACTTAAAAATTTACAGAAATAAATTTGTATTCTAAACATTCTAATACCCCGTTCGCACCGAGCATTTCAATCTAGATTGTGGCTAAGGTCGGAGAGAGTTCCGAGGTGCGAATGCTCTCAACCATTTCAATCTCGACTGAAACAAGGTTCTATCGTGATCGACTGAAGAGAGTTCTTGAAACTAGTCATAAGAGAGATCCCACAATCCCACGCGCGCGAGAAAATACAAGATGGCTGCTGAACACATGTTGGGCTATCGACAGAGAAATAAAAGACACCTGGAGAGACGACGACATCTGTCTATTATTAGATGCATGGCAAGAAAAAGTATTTATTTCTAACCAAAACTTCCATTTTGTTTGTTGGTGTTTGTGACTTACCGCGTAGTTACGTCAGTTTTATGATCGCGTGTAATAGCCAGGTTCTTCTCGAGCTGACTGCCTGTGCGAACAGCATGACGTTCGACGAGAGACAGTCACAATCCAGATTGTAGGTAAATCGAGATAGAAGTGAGTCGTGGATTGTGTGCGAACGTAGTATAACACTATTAAAGTTTTGATTTCTGTAACATTTCCTTTTTTTATATACATAATTAAATGTTTTACAACCCAGTAGTATAACATAATGAACGTTTCCAAACACATTACTGTATTCTGTTTATGACAAATATTGTTAAGTATTGAACATATCTTCCATCTTAAATAGAAAAATATCAAGCTAAGAAATGTGTTAGTGATAAAAATTCATTACTCTTATCCTCAAGAATATTTCCATATTGTTGATTACTATTTTTTAAAAATCATCTTTAAGCTATAATATTGCTGCCAATAAATCATAATTATGGTGACCAGCAGAAAGAAGCAAACTAGTTAGCTAAGTGAAGTACAAGCTAAATGATCCATCTAAAGAAAGCAGTAAAATTACTAAGAATGAGGAGTGTTGGACAGAGCCATAGCCCATGGCCATTTTATAAAACCTCAAAAATCAGCCTTTTGAAAACATTCAAAAATGGGATAAAATTTAAAAGTGAATAAAAAAAATCCAGAACTATTCTAATCAACTATTTTCCACTTTACTAGAGACAGCTCATATAACACAAGCAATGCCACTGCACCAACTATTCCTGGTATTTAGAATATAGTAGTGTACAATACCATTAACTAATTTTTAGACAAATATCTCACCAAGGGTTAGACCCTTGGCGAGATATTTGTCTAAAAACTAGTGGGTATGGTTCTTTTGACTTTTTGATCATCTAGGTCATCTAGGGGGGTCTAAAATTTGGAGATCCAAAGCACTCATTCAGAACTTTTTTACCCTTAATTTTTCTACCTAGTTAATCACACAACAAACACTACACTTACTATTTTGTCACTTAAAAGCAAGAAATGTCCAAAATCACTTTATACACTAAGCTATATCAAGATCAGTTATAATCATGAACGAAAATTTTAACGTGTTCATATCCAAATGACTATCAAGTATGTGGAATCTCAATTCATACATGAACATTTACCTGAATTTTACATTAATTCTGTAATAAACTTTTAGTAATAATAATGTTAATATTGGGAGCGATTAAGATAAAATTATTTCAAAATAACTCAATTATTTGAATATCAAATATGGTTCCAAATAATGGCGAATTAGTTTAGATAGAATGTTGAATTTTTGTAAAGAAATCGAGAGATTTAACAGAAATTAAGATTAATTTTTAAGTTAATTGCTTAAATTATCGATTTAATTTCATTAAATTCCGAACTGAATCTTCCCGATTTACTTTTTATGTAATTTTTGCAATTTTCAATCTACTTTAATCGACTCCATTTTTATTTACCCACGCCTTACCTTTACGAATAATTGATATTTAAGTGCCGTTTAATATAGTCTATACTTTAGTTTCAAAGAAAAAAATTTAGAAAAACATTTAAAATTAAAAGGTAACGGGCATATTCTACAAACCTTGAACGTGATAATTTGAATAGAGGACTGCCACCACGTTCACCCAACTCACGTTTCGGATTACTTTGTAACATGCAAAAAAGGTAGCCCAATATTAGCGGAAAGATTTTATAAAATTTTTTAAATATATATATATTTTTTTCTTTTAATTTATGAAGTTTAAACATTTTTGTAATTTAATATTGCAGGGGTTGCCTGGCTTTTTTATAGCAATTGCAAATTCATTTGCAAAACACATTTTTTATCTACCAAAATAGAAAGTTATTCGCCACTGTGATTTTTTGTGTCAACCAGAAATGAAGGATGACCGGCGATACAAAAAAAGTGTTGAGTTTTTATCACCGAGTTTCCCAATTAACTTTGTTTCTGTTGTTTATTAATAGTAAAATTGTATCAGACCAAGACAGATTCATGTTCTCAGTCTTCAGTGAGATAAAATTTTTGCAAATTGCAAATTTTGCAATGGGCAGCGTGACCCCTGTTAAGGTTCTTAACTTCAATGTATGATTATTCTGAAATGATACAAGCAATGAAAAAGTTGGAAATATTACTTCATTCTCTATAATCTCTAAATAGGAACCATACTGGGGATGAATGAGTCACCGCTGTACAATTTAACTTCTTATTCTGCGAGAGTGGTANCAGTGGTGATATTCAGCGGGTTCGCACAGGTTCGGCCGAACCCGTTGTTAACATTTTCAAAGTTTTCAGAACCTTGTTAAACACATGTAACATTTCTCAATGGTTTGATTCTTTTAAAAATATTAAAATATACGTATTATACTCTGTAACACTACTAAACTAGAGGCTTCCGATGCACCATTTGAGCGAAAAAAAAATTGTTAAAGAAAAATTTTCTGTTAGCGAACCCTTTGTTAAATATTTCGAATGTCATCACTGGACGTATCTAAATGTATTTTTTATATCACAATTACATTCCGAATCGCTAGCCACGATATAAAGGCTACAATTAAAAATAAAATAATAAAAACGTACTTGATGAAATAAAATGCGTGGTGGATATACATACCTGGTATAAAATATTCTTCAATTGTATGAATATACTTTTAAAGAAAATTATAATTAAATATAGCTTTGCAAAGAAACGTACAGTACATAAAAATAACGTAAAATATTCTTTACTTTTTAAATCTTAAATCAATCCACTTAGTCAAATAGCTCCTTACCAGTGGCTAATGGAATCCGAGACGGTCCTGCAGTGCTTGCATGAATGCGGATTGCCAAATCTCGAGGGTGCAGATACCGGTCAATGTCAAATACCTCTTTTGTCGCATCACTCGTATACCTCAAAGGACGCGACAGGTTGTGACGTTTTGCGATTACTTTTAATACAAGCCTAATGATTTAAAAATAAAATATTTCTAAAATATGATATTTTATTTAAAAAATTGCCAGGACAAATACATTTTTAGAATTTACAAAATAAAAAATTCAATAAAGTAGACAATACATAGGTGTTTTCTTACATTGTCTTTTTGCACGCACAAAGTAAAATAGGATATTATTTACAAAATAATGACCCATTTTACCTTTGTGGTTCTTGTGTACTGTACCTATATATGACAAGAGAAAGTATCATATTTGACACTCCAAATCTCCACATTTTCAGACCTTTCGTCTTGACGGCCGGATGACCGAGTGGTCAAGGTGGCAGCCTACCGCTCTGGGGACCCGGAAACAAATCCGGACGTCTCGAAAAACCGTACAGTATATGTTTTACATTGTGTGTACGTATACAGTTTTGTGTGTTTTTCAACATGTCAGGAGTGAAACGTAAACACGTTACTCTTTCATTAAATGAAAAATTAGCAGTGCTACAAAGACTGGACAAAGGGGAAGATTGTTTATTTTACTTTTTTCTGATAATCCGACCTTTTTTGCGTTCCGACCATAACCCCAGTCCCAAAGATGACGGATTAGAGGGATTCTACTGTACAGGAAATTTTGAAGGAGGCAGTCATCATGATAATAAATAAGAAAAATAAGCATAGTCACGGAAGAGGGCTTCGAGCTTTACTTTGAGTTTTAAAGTTGTTGCACTACATTAATTTGACTGAATGTTAGAACATGTTTGAGCAGTATCAGCAAAGAAAGTTTGAGACACAAAGTTCGAAGCCTTCTTCTGTTACCATGCTTATTTTTCCTATTTATTATCATGATGACTGCTTCCTTTAAAACTTCTTGTAGCCAGTGTAATGTGCACTTTATTCACACGTTGAGTCTTTCTGTCAAATCTGCTTCCACTATTCTTATGCCTTTATGTAGATGTTTCTGCTGAGTTCTACTTTTTCAACCTGGTTTTACCAATATTTTTTTATGGGATTATATTAGGATCTGGTCAGTCTATAGTGGTTGTGATCTAGTTTTACAAGTCAGAAGTATTTCAATTTAACACTATATTTATTTATAAAGTTTATTAAATCGTCACTCTTAGACAATAAAATAATATACAAGATATATTTACTCATATTTCTGCTAGTTTGATGTCTACATCCACATTTCATTAACCTGTGGCCGCCAGCGCCAGAGATCCTGAACACTGTCTGGCAACACTTGCCAAGATCACGAACTCTG